TGATAATAATGATAATAACGTTAACAATAATAATAATAATAACGTTTTTAAACATTGTAAAATAATATTAATAATATGTAGTTAATTAAATAAATTAATTCGCGCTTCTCGGCTGAGCGTTGATATTTACCTTAACAACCATAATATAAACAATCTTGCCGTTAAAATTTTAAAAATCGCGTTTTATATTGTTTATAGTTATTAAATTTATTTTATTGGTTTTTTGTTTTAATTAAATAATTTATATAAATTAATAATTACTTGTTCCTTCTTATCAAATATCTTGCATACCTTATATATAATGCACTGAAGATGAGTTATCTATAACTCGAAATAGCTATTTGCAAATTTATTTAATAAAAATTTTTAAAAAACAATAAAATGTCTAATTTTTCTTAAATTAATAAATTAAAAAGAAATATATATATATATATATATATATATATATTTTTTACAATATTCTATAAATTCTACCGAATGTTTGTAGTTCGTTTTTTCGATTTTTCTCACTAAAGTTTTTTTGGTGAACGTTTAGTTTATTAAAATTTAAAATAAACTTATTTTTCGAATTCATGCTGCAAATAAGGCCATATTTCGATTCCTAATGAATCATCATCAGTGCAAGTTGGTTAATATAGGAAAATATTCACCTTGTGAAAGTGAACATAGATGGAAATTAGGTGAGCATGAAAGAGACCATATTTTTAACAGTATTGTTTGAATTTATCCGAATTCAACTTCAAATTGATTAATGTCAACAACTCGGTAGAATTCATACATTCTGACATTGTTTTTTCCCAAATACGTGGACAGACAATTTATAATTTTTTCTTTACTCTATTTTTTTACTATATTTCGGAAAGACTAAAAACTAGTTGCTTATCTCAATTTTTATCTCAAGAAAAGATAATTTGTTACCAACCGTTGCATCTCAAACTCGTTCAATTTTATCTTCAAAAAATTTCAGAAAACCATCACCTGTGTGCACCGTTTCAGACTTATCAATATTGTCTACAATGTTTTTGCAAAGTAGTTTATTTAGTGCATTCCATAATTGATTCCGCCTGTTTCTATTCTCATCAACTTAATTTGAACAAAAAGAGCCGGGACAACTTCTTCAAAAATTGACTGTTTCGGGAAATCCTAATATGGTCAGCAAAATATGAAGATCAAATTAACTCAAACACACTACTTTCCTTTTCAGTTATCAACAAAATTTATAGCTACAAAAATTGTTCTACTGCTATAAATTAATCCTATTGTTTTTTTAATAACAAATTACTCTAGCAATTAACTTATTGATTGATAAATTAATCCTATTGTTTTTTTAATAACAAATTACTCTAGCAATTAACTTATTATTTTCTAAGCACCCAACGCAACTTAACCGATCAATTCAACTATAATCTTGATGCTTTCTATAATACTATAAACTGCGTTTTAATATTTAATTACTGTTTTAATAACTTCACCACACATTTCCAACTTACTGAGAACTCCAATGGCCAGTCCTCCCAAAGCGATTGCCATAGCATAACCTCTCTCCCTGTCATCGTTGTACAAACTAGCTAACATACCCAATCCTGTGTGCATGGTGATGAATTGTGGAAAATATTCTAATAAAATGGTTATTAGAGTTATAATAATCCTTTTTATTATCACAATAATTTTTATCATCATCACACCTGATACACTGGAACACGATGATCCCAATCCCTGTATTGCTCTGGCCACGAACAAAACCTCGTAACTGTTGCCAAATGCAAAAGCTTCGAAAATCGTTGTTAACAATGCAAATTATTTCAAACTAGTTATTTTTATATTGAACTTTGTATTAGCAAGTTCTATTAAGATATTAGGACTAATATACAAATTATAATGAATAAAAAACTTGAACAATTTTTATGATTATTAATTTTTCAATCATTACTTATCTTGAAATTTATAGCCATTTCTAACATATGGTAGAAGAAAACGTGATGATGAACCCGATAAAAAACGGGATGCTGTAACCGATTCTATTTGTTATCGGACCAACTATTGGATTAATTATCAACTGGACCACAGCTTTTGATGCAAACAATAAACCAACGGCAACATTTTCATCCTCCATATATGATGATGAAGAAGATGATGAAAAAGATGATGATGAAGATGGTGATGAAGATGATGGTGATAATGAAAATAGCGGTGATGGTGGTGATGAAGACGGTGATGAAGATGAGGGTGATGAAGATGATAATAATGGTAATGATAATGGAGATGGGGATGTTGGTAACGATGATTTTTCTTTTGCCAACTCCTGATTGAGATTGTGCAAGAAGTCAGGAACAATTGGAACTGAACATTATTTTAATAAAATAAATTTAACAAATTTTTATTTTACATTTATATTAAACCATTAAAAACGTTTCATTTAAAAAAATTCAATAGCTGATGTCAAAAACAACGTTTTTGAAATCAGACACAACGACATGTGATTTAAACCCAAATACCATAAAATTGTTAAAGTAGTTTTTGGGTATCCTATGTTCGTTCTATCATGTAATAAAATTAGTTATATTTTCTCTACTGCTAAAATGAATTGCCTAGACAAAAATAATATCAGGAATTACAGATATTACAGACAGATTTCAAATCTCCATTTCTTCACAATGGTTTTTAAGCGGTTTGCTAGCTCGTTTATTTGGTCGCTTTTGTGTATAACAGTTGCAGCTTGTAGCTCAATCAGGTTACAGGCCAGAGTCGTCTACAAAGGCAGCTTTGTTGAATGTGTTTGGAGACATCGTAAACCAAGTAAACAAAAGTAAGATGGTGTTATTAGCTTCACATGAGCCAATTTTTACGTTTTAAACAGTTAGTTGTACGTGGAGTGCCACCAAAGAGATTGGCAGTTACTTTCAACATTATTCTCTGCTGAGGATGTTATGGTGTCTGTTCCCAATTAATTTTTAATGTGTGTTTCAAGTGTGCTTGATTTGGTAAAAAATTATGGTATTTATTTTCATATAATATTCAGATTTATTCAGCTGTATTAAAAAAAGTTGCTGCTGATGCTTTGGAAGGAATAATTAGTCATATTAAAATTATTAATTATAATTGAATTTAAATCTTCATAAAGCAGAATAAATTTAGTTATGTCCAGAAAAAAAGACGTTGGCCAAAATTAGCAACACGACACTTGATGTTTTTGTTGCATGCAGTTGAAAGAGTGATAATCTAGGAGTAAATTTAATAATTTATAGGCAATGTTATCACGGATAGTAAAACTTAGTACATTTATTTCACGGCTATGATTATTAAATCTGACTAAAAATGTTCCTAGCTGACATTTATATGAGTCTAGTTGTATCATTTTAATTAACGTAGTTACTGTACTTTGTAGACGTACGGTTTTAGAATTAATGGGGTTGAGAGTTCAACGTATTCAGAACGTTGCAGAAAATTTTTTGTTGCGCTTTTCAGGCGTGTAACTGGGTGGTAATAAAATTGTCATTGGCTGCCAGTTTGAGATGTAATTTTTCCCTAGATGGCAGTTATAGCTAACAGTTGCAGTTATGGTGTTGGGCCAGATTATTTGAAAGAGTTGTTACGAGAAAATTTGAATGTTCCCTGTTATTTGATGGCTGTCCCCAGAACAAAAAATAGCTAGATGATAGATGTATGCAAGTCAGTGGACATTAATTGGACAACTAATTAAACAATAAATTTTTTGGATAATTTTTTGAGAATAAAATGTTCAACTAACCAACAACAGTAAGCAGAATGCTGTCGAGTAGAATGGCAACAAATACAATGAAGAGAACCAACCTCCTCGACGATCTCCATTCTTTCCACCTACCAAACATCACATCACAACAATTACTACCCACTGAAGTATTTCCATTATCAGTAATTTTATTTTTACTATTACCATTAATAGATGAGTTTGCATTATTGTTTTTGTTACTTTCACAATCCGTAGTAATGCTATCTTTTGTATTGTTGCTGCCATTTATATTTTTGATGTCACCGAATGTTTTAATGTTTTTGTCAACGTTGTTAATGCTGTTGCTGTTTTCTTCCTTTTCAATGAAAGTGTCATTATTGTTGTTAACATAATTTTCTGGTTGTAGAGACATTTTGAACAAATTGCATGAATTGAAATGGTTGTTTGAAATTGGTGGAGGCAACTTTTCTGACGATTGCGATGAAGATGATGATGAGGGCGTCGTAACGACAGTGAATGTGATGATGTTGGTAACTAGGAAGATGATTGTAATGAGGAGATGTTGCAACAATGAAATGATGTTCATAATGTGAAGATGTAGAAATAGGATGGTGTTGGTGAGGAGAAAAGTGGTGATGACGATGATGAAGAGGAGTATGAGATGATGTTGACTGCATCTGTTGCATGCTTTTTGACTTTAAACGCCACAAATTCAATGATGTATAAATTGAAGTTAATTTGTTTTTGCTTTGCAGCTGTATAAAATACATTGTTTTTTGTTTCAAAAATAAAATTATATTAAAAAATCATTTTCATTGTTGTAAACTTAATTTCAATAATTAAACGATGTTTAATCAGCAAAGCCTATGTATGCATGGGCAAACTCTGCAGTCGTTTAGGTTTAAGGCTTCCAATTTGTTAAGGCCTTCTCACAGGAATATAAAAATTTTACAAATTAATACAAAATTTCAACTCTAAACTTCTATCGATGTATTTGATGTTTGTTAATAACTAGAAACAATAAAGAAAAGACGCCGATATTTTTGATATGTTATCGTCGGCAGAACATCAATCGATCAACCTGCGATGTACAAAAAAGTTCAATACAATTTTTTAAATAGACAGCAACGGCAATGTAACTATTATTCTTGTTTTTATGTTCAAATTTTAAAGTATTAGCCGCTAACCGAGCTCTTATGATTTTCACATTATTTATTTAAATCCATTCAATTTTGATAAATTTCCAAAGTACAGTAAAATCGTTCATGTGTCTGTATCAAAATTTCTCGCGGAATGAAATTTTTCATTTATGTATTTGATTTATTGTGTTCGAAAGTTTGAAGTTATCCGTAAAATTCTACGACTAGACAAATGCAAAAGTAAAATAAAAATTTTAAACTTCATTGTAGATTACGTTTATAAATTTGTTGGTTATATTATGTCAAAGTGAAGATAAACATTTAGTATATTTTTACCATCGTTTCATTTTTTATATTAATTTCTTAAATTTTTTCAAAAGACGATTCCAGACTGAAACATCTTTTTTTATAAATCACACTTCAGTGAATTAATTTTATATACCTGTTTTTCAAATTAATCGCAGTTGTATGTAATAATCATAAAAAAATTTATCATACAAATACTTAACAAGTCTGGTTGAAATTTATTAAGTAATGTAAAAGTTTTTGATGCACATTTTTAAAAATTTCATTTGTGGCCACCATTCTTTTGCCAAGCGCCTCCAACTACCAAAACCGACCCTGCTATCAGGTAACATAATTTTTAATAAAAATATTCTGATTACTGTATTTGAATTTAATTTCAAACGAACACATTTTATTTTGTTTAGTTTTTTTTAACAATTTCTTTTTATAATCCATTTTGTTTCATTCTTCAGAAATTATAAACATCGTCGTCTGTCGGTTCATAACCGATATATATTAGAGTATTTAATCATCGAACATCTAAACACACGTTTCTCATCTGTTACTGCGTTCTTCATTGATCATTTAAGCGTGAAATGGTGTCTTAACTGTTTTTATTATTTTACTTGTTTTACTATATTTTGTATGTCTTTCCCGATTTTCTTACTATTTCTACTCATTGACTGTAGTTTCCTTTTAAAATCAAATGCCCAAGTATGCTAAATAAGCCAGATGAGTTTGGATTAAAATTTTAGGTTTTAGGTGGCTGTAAAACAAAATATTGTTTGAAAGTAAAACCGTTTTGGGTATAGACATTGTTCATTAATATATTGTTGAAATATAAAAAAATTTAGATATCATAATCATGGTCATAAGATATCAAACATTTTAGTCAAACGGTTATTTCAAGAAAATTAATTGAATACGGCTGTTCTAGAGTTAAAAACGTAATCATCATTGTTTCATTGATGTATTTGTGTTAGAAACGTCAAAGAAATCGGCGCTTATGTATGTATATTTTTGTGTTCTTCAAATTTTTAAATTTATTATTAAAATGTTTTTTCAATATTTCACCACTAATGTATGGTTGTTCCAAAAACGGAAATATACGCTTCCGTGGAGACCAACGCGAGACGTAAGGGGACAAATTCTGGACTGTCCCACCTAATTCGGGACGGTAGGCAACTATAATAAGTGATAATTGCTTCTGTTTCTATAATTTTTGCCACAGTAAATTTTGAATAGTGCGACTTCATTGTGGAAAAAGCTTTTTAATTTGATATTATAAATACGTATGTTAATGGATTTTTAACGATCGTTCGTGGAATCTGTCAAATTTTCAAACTTTTGCCACATGTACATTAGTTATAATTAATTATTACATTTGAAATTTATGTCTATTTGACGAAAATTTTGAAAATTTAATGAGAATAATCATCAACCAAAATCATATGCCAGTGATAAGGGGCTGTCCATAAAGGATGTCACGAATTAATATTAACTTCTACACCTACACAGCGGTAAACTTCAACGATGGCATTTAAATTTGACTCCTCTTTTAATTATTATTTATCAACTATTTGCTCGCTTGAAAACTTTTATATTCATTTATGCGCATGTATATATGAAAGAAAATTTATTTATTGTTTTGTTTATTTAAAAAAGGGACGTCACATTTGCGTTTACTCCAACCCCCTTCGTCACAAAGTGTCACAAATATTTGGACCCCCTCCTCCCTTGAAGAGTGACATCCTTTATGGACGGCTCCTAATATATGTTCAAATGAGTTTCAAACAGTTTGCCATCGGTCACTTCTGATCGTAGCCTGTACAGTTTTTTTGGAGTCACAAAAGGCATCGTTAGGACGTCAAAAGAGATGACAATTAAGCGGTTCAAGTGTTATCAAGTACAAGTATACAAGAGTAAATATGATCAAACCACATGAAATTTTTTGGAAGAAATTTGTTAGATCAGTTTCATTATTACAAATGCTTATAATGTGGCGTTGCCATAAGTTATTTTTGTTGGGGACTTGGTAGTTGCTATTTTTAGTCCAAATCGGCTAATTTAACTTAACCCTGCCTAAAAAAATCATTGAGGGTGATTTTAACTTCAAAACGTTCTTTTGCTACACTCTGATTGCCCTCGAAAGAGCAATGTTGTAATTGCTACACCATGCAACATATAATCGTTATCGGTTTCATTATAATTCTAGCTTTTCAGAATTTAAAGAGTTTTACGAGCTACGTATTGTGTAATCCAAAGATAATAAAACAACTTATTTATGCTTATTCTATTGAACATTGTTTATGGATTGTTTTGAGGTGAAAAAAAGCAGTTTAATTGTAATTTGCCAAAAATTAAATTTAACTAATTGCAAAATTTTTAATTAGTTTTTTGTAGTAGTTTTTGATGAAATTTGGTAAACAGACATGTCTATATGTAAGAAAATGTTTGTCATATTTTTTTTGCAGCTTAACGGCGTTTTAGCACGATGCGGCTATTTTAACGCCTTTGGATCATTTAAAAACTGATTATTTTGTTGTAACATCTAGAAAACTTCAAATTCTGTTGATCAAATCTATCTCCTCCACAAATGAAATTAAGACTTCCTGGCTTCTATTTTGGAAGAGCAATTCTACATTTGATGGAACCATGAGTTTCCTTCTGATCTGATCGTATTTTTCACATTCAGTTAATATATGCTGAATAGACAGTTTTTTGTCACGGGCTTAACAATAAGGTGGCTTGGTTATGTTGGGGATCCAGGAATGTGTGATTGCTGAGTGTCCTATTTTAATCTATTGATAACAGACTGAAGATGACGATTTAAATAACTATTTTTGAGATTTTTGTTATTTACTGATGGCATACTTAATTTTAAAAAATTTTATGTTTTATTCCACTCCTGCTGCCATTTTTCAACAATAAGGTTGTATGTTAAATTCTTTAAATCACTGGACGGAATTGGAACTCTAGATAAAGGCCTCAAATGAGCTTGAGAAGCCATCTGATCTACCTTTTCATTTCCTTAAATTCCAATGTGGCTGGGGGTCCACATTATAATTAATTTTTTGTTGCTATCCAGGATATTATGAATTGTGAATATATGTCATAAAATGTTTGTCATATTTGTGAATTTTCATATCCAAGTCATAAACATAGTTGTAAAACCAAAGAAAATGTTATTCACACTAAATGCAAAAAATTGAGAGTACTAAACGCATTTTGGTAATTTATATCGGAACTTAAAAACATAAAATTAAAAATTCTAATATCAATATCAATATATTTATTTGATCCAAACAAATTTGTGATCGGGAGACCCGGAAGAAGAACATAAATTTTTGTAGTAGACCACTCTGGACAAGATTATCATCATAATAATGATAACGGATAAGGATAAGAATAATATATATATATATATATATATATATATATATATATATATATATTTTTACAATATTCTATAAATTCTACCGAATGTTTGGCGTTAATATGTTTGTAGTTCGTTTTTTCGATTTTTCTCACTAAAGTTTTTTGGTGAACATTTAGTTTATTAAAATTCAAAATAAACTTATTTTTCGAATTCATGCTGCAAATAAGGCCATATTTCGATTCCGAATGAATCATCATCAGTGCTCCTTGCTGTATATATAGGGAAATATTGAATTTGTCAAGATGAACTTTGACGTTGTAAAAATTAACTTTAGTGTTGTAAAATTGAACTTTGATGCGAATTAGGTGTCAGGTTTCTTTATTGGCTGGTCATCTTCTTTGGTCTCCTTATCATATCCATGTCATAAACATAATTGTTTGACCAGCCAATAAAGAAACAATATTCGAATTTATGTTTTTATATAAATTCCGATATAAATTACCAAAATGCGTTTAGTACTCTCAATTTTTGGCATTTAGTGTGAATAACATTTTCTTTGGTTTTACAATTATGTTTATGACATCATTTAAGGAGACCAAAGAAGAAGATGACCAGCCAATAAAGAAACCTGACACCTAATTCGCATCAAAGTTCAATTTTACAACACCAAAGTTAATTTTTACAACGTCAAAGTTCAACGTCAATTTATTTTGAATTTTAATAAACTAAACGTTCACCAAAAAACTTTAGTGAGAAAAATCGAAAAAAAGGAACTACAAACATATTAACGCTAAACATTCGGTAGAATTTATAGAATATTGTAAAAATTATGGTCTATTACCAACATATATGTATATATACAATTATATGATAATTATATAAAGTCTTTGGCGTTGTGTACAAATTACGCGACAAGCTAACTCCAAACGCAATGCTAATGATTTACTCTTTTTTTTTTACCCTTACTTCATTTACTGCAATGTATTCTGGGGATCAACTTTTAAATATTTAATAAACAAATTACAGGTACTTCAAAAATATTTTTTACGCACTTGTTTTTTTTAAAATAGGTCTGATCATATTAATCAACTATTTGCTAAATATATGATATTAAACTTTCATCAAATCAATATATATATAACCCTTGTCTTTATATATAAATTTATAAAGAATGTAAACTATAAGTTTTTAAACTCTTTTAATTACACAAAATACACAAAATCATCAACAAGACAGAATGGTATGCTTTGCTCTATTATAAGTAGAAATAGGACAAATGATAGAAATTGGTCGGTTCGAGGAATAAAGCTATGGAATGCTACTGTCAGTGTTGAGGCTAGAACTATGCCAATTAATTTGTTTAAAAATTTTGTTAAAGAAAGTTTATTTAGAGATGTTATTGAAATTGGCTGAATTTTGAGAATTGTATGATTTACGGAATTTTATTTATTTTCGTTTTTTCATTTCATCTGAACTTGAATATCAATTAATGTCTGCTCAAACTTTTTATTAGTAGACAGTTTTTGTTTCTGTTGATTATGATTTGTTTCTGTTGATTATTTCTGTTAAATATAACTTTTCGTTTTATTGCATAATTCGACAATTATTGAACATCTTGCACCTCAGTTAAGGTAATCAGCACCTGTTTTCATTATAACTTCTTGATTGCCTTTGATGTCAATTAAATTTTGAAAAAATATATATGTAGATATATATATATATATATATATATATATATATATACCGTGATTCAATTAATCATAAAAATTCCACACAACTTTGATGTATAAAATTATTCAAAATTAAATGTCTTTTTTGAGTCTTTGGTTTCGAATACAAAGAAGTTTGTCCTATTTAAACAAGAACTAGTTAACTATTATCTAAAATATCAAAATTTGTGTCAAACAAATTTCAATATTTATTAAGTCAAGTGAAGCGGTAAAATCGGATTTTTAAAGTTATTCTAGTCGATAACCCAGTGTTATGTCAACACCTAATTGTGATTTAGTTCCTAATTGCTTCTATTTCAGCGAGGAAATTTAACTTTTGGCATACTAATTGTTCAATCATTAGCATACTAAATATGGATCAATCAAAAATAAGAAGATGTGTTCAAAAGATTGTTCGTAGTTACGTAGAAACATTTAAAGAAGAACAGAGACTTTTCAAATTGGAAACGTATAACAAATTTGCAGAAGATAACAAAAGCAAATACAAGCTATCAGCCGAAGATCTTCAAAATCTAGCAACAGTGCTTTCATCAGACATAGATTTCTCGCAAAGTGATGATCATTTAATGCAATTCGCATCAGTAACCACGGAGCATCTTACTGAAGCAATGTTGGATCTACAAAATTTTTATTTCAAAACAATAACGAAAAATATTCCTAGAACTTATCATTCTTTTTCAAGTGTTTCCGAATCAAATATTGTTGTGAATGGAGTAATTAAACATGTAGATTTTTATCCGTCCGCATTTAGACTACAGAAAAATTACAAATTGCCATTTATCAAAGGCAAATTTAGTAATGAAAATTGTGTGATATGTGTTGAAGATTTTCATTTACGTTCATTAGTATATGAACTTCCATGTCAACACACATACCACGTGAAGTGCTTGGAAACATGGCTAAAAGAATGTCACATATGTCCATGTTGTCGATGTGTTGTGGTTGGTCACATAAAAATATATCATGACTACGAATCTAAGGTTGGTGAGAATAGAAATGTTACAGCAAAAATCAAATTGGTCACAAATCACAATGTTCATTAGTATTTTTTATTGATGCTTGTCCTTTATATAATGTCCGTCCATAATACACCTTTAAACAAAAATATTACATCTTTATACACGTCTGTGTCATTGAAGTTAAATTATTTAAATATCAAGTTGTCTAATTAAAATACGATTATTAAATCATAAATCAATAAAATTTTTACAATAAAACTTATTCAACCAAATGAAAATATAAAATTAATGAATTAACAAAAATAAACACCTGACGCTTCGAACTGTGTTTTAATAAAATAAACGTTCAATTAAAGTTTTAGTTGAAGGTTATCATAGTTTTCAGGAGACGCAAACCTCATATTTAAACATGAATTTATTAAATTTACGTATCTTAAATTTTTGTACTTCTTAGGTTAGAATTCTAAGACCTATGCGATAAACTGTCTCTTAAAATGCCAACAGTTAAAATATTATTAGATTATAAACATTTTGCGTCAAAAATCAATCAATAAAACATGCAATACAACCGGTAATGAAGACAATAAAAATTTTAATCATAGATTTTTAATTTAGACTTAGCAATAAATTGTCAAACTTTTGTAAAAAATTAAGTTTTTTAACAGAACATTTCATGGCAGCTCTATTCGCATCTGGGAGTTGATATGCTGGAGTTTGTCTCAGATATTCTTCATTAAAATCTGGATGGAATGTTTGTATTTGGTTTTTTGTGCGTGCGTGTTTGTATATGTGTGTGTGTGCGTGTTCATGTTTTTGTATAACCAAATTGAAAGTATGTTCAGAGTTTATATGTGTCGATGTGTGGTTGTATGTTGGAAGATTTTTTATATAAATTTTTGCGTGAGTTCTTTTTTATTATTTCTCAATATAATTTTTTGAATGTTGAATTACCAGACTTGATTTTTTGCTTTGACTGGTGGATTTCTGAGGAAAATGTGGATGGGTGAGTACAAGAGGTTGATGGCTGCCATCATCCACATCAGTCTGTTAGTGATGATGACATTATGATTATGATGATTGTGGTGATGATGGTGAAGGTGATGATGAATGGTGGTAATGATTAAGATGATTGTGATGAACATAAACAATACCGTTGAAAATAGCAATGATTATGTTATTGTGACGATCCCCAAACTTATGCGCTTAGCGCTTAATAGTTTAAGCGATTAGATAAACCAGTTTAGTTTAGTGGTGTTAGAGGTGACATTGAAAAACGTTATGACAGTTTTGATATTTAATTTTGCCGTACTATTTTAGTTAATATTCATTCGTTAATCAACTATTTATTTAATATTCTGTTTGTTAAAATAAAACTTAATGAAAATACTGTTTGGCGTAATTTTAATTAATTAGAGCCTTAAAATAAGAAAGAATTCGTGACAGTTACAATGATAAAATTATTTTGTAAGATTGCAATAAAGTTTAAAACAATACAAAAAAAAGCAACTATTGATATAAACACATCAGATGAACATAGCTGAGATAGAGTCAACTCTAATTAATTTCAAATCAAATTCCGTGAAGTAATTTTAAAATTAGTCTTTGACATCATCTTACCCTTTGAATTCTATTAAATTCAATACTGGTCCACTAAGTGCTGGCCCTGTTAATTTACAAAAAAATAATTATTTCACTTTTTTAATTTCAAATACGCAGAGTTAGTGTTCATAATTAAAATGCCTGTGTCTGTTCATCCACACAAACGTTTTAGGTATATAAAATTAAATAATCCAATAAAAATCATTCACAACCGACTAACCGACTATGAATGCCAAAGTAAACGCCATATCAGAAATAGCATAGACGCTTCCATATATGGACACGTGACGTATGTCGACCAGGTGACCCAACATTGGAAGTATTGAGGTATCTATCATGCCTGTTTTTTTTCAGCAATTGCAGTAAAATTCGATTAATAGAGCAAGCTGCTTATTAGGACCATTGCTTAATAGAACAAAATTTTCAAAAAATTAAGTCCTATTAAGCAAGCATAATTAAATCTAATTAATTTGGCTAAAAATTCGATTAATCTGACCGCAAACGTAGTGGACACAGTCTATATGTTGCAGGTTGATCGCGTCAATTTATTGATTTATTTATTTGAGAAAAATCTTTGCCAACCATAAACTTGAAATAAATGAGTCATGAACAAATTAAATTAAATATAGTAAATACCAGTAAACATAAAAACAGTTGCTGAAAATTAAATGTGATGATTAAAGTTCTTCAAATTAAAAATCAAATTGTAATATGTAAATGGAATACTAATAAACATGTTATATCGAATTTTAAAAATTAAGAGAGCCAATACAGCCAGCAAATAAAATCAGGTTTGCATGTTAAACATCCTGTTCCCATAATACCAATCCAACATGATTTTAAAGGCTTTTACACTTGCTTTGTTTATTTATATATGCTTTTATATTGATGTATGCATCACTTCATCTAGCAAATCATTCGAAAACTGAACTACCCTGTTGGTGAAACAATATTTTTTACAGTCTACTCGTGCTATAAGCCAACATGCTCTTAGTTTAAAATTATGTCCTCTGGTGATAGCAACAATATTTTAAAACAATAGTGGGCAAATTATCAAATTTATCAGACCGAGAAGTATTTGGTACCCCAAAATCAAATCACCTCTAACTTTGCGATAGGCAATTGAGTGAAAATTTAATTTTTTTAACTTTTCGCTGTAATTAATTTCGTTGCTTTTTTTTAAATATTTTCAATTTTTTTATTAAACCTAATCTGTCTGTACGGACTCCACTGCTGCACATTGAACTCCCGTTGTGTGCGAACCAACAATTCATACAGACTAAGAGGAACACCATCCGTTATGTTTCTACAATTTCTAGCCATAATTCCAAGCATTGAGTTTGCCTTTTTTTAGTCTCGTCAATATTTGAGTTTTGAATTGAAGTATGGAATCGATAATTACATCCAAGTTTAAAATTGGTTTCATATTGATGATTGAATGACTTGCTTCATGAGCAACAGTAGCCAATGATATGTGCTATCGGTATTCCTGTTGACTGTCAAAAGGAGGAATTTATCAATATTTACTTTCTTTCTCCATTATTCAAACCATTCAGAAATATTGTTGAGGGGACTGCTGATTATCTCTGTCTAATTTGCTACTTATAACGTTATATATTTTGGCATCATCAGCAAATAAGAGTATAGTGTCGCTGAGAGTGGGCTGAGTCTACCTCCTCCTTGAGGCAAACCACTGGTAACTGTCATGCTTGTGCAATTTAAAGAATAATCTGGTGTGAAAAACTTTATCGAATGTCAGTGTAGAAACGTCAACTGCACCGCCATTCTTCACAGCTTCCGTCATCATATTTTAAAATTTAACCAACTTTGTAAAAAAAAATCCATACTGTTTATTAGTTAATAAATTATTTCTAAAAAATTATTGTTTTATTTTCTCTGCCACACAATCGATTTTGAAATCTTACAAGATGTTGAAATTAAGGCCACCGGTCAATTATTGTTAACAAAGTTTCTACATCCTTTTTATGTATTGGAACTATTGTGCTTGATTTCATGTCTTTGGGAATTGTTCCTGTATCCAACGATTGTTGAAAAACTCGACGAAGATAGTTATGGGAAAAGTGTCTGGATTTACGTAACACCCAAGGATAGGTACCATCTGGATCAGGTGACTTAGAGCAATTAATTGCATTAAGCTTTGTAAGTACCCAACATTCATCAATTTTCACCTCTTCCATCGCTACCTCTAGTATCACTGGATCAATAAAAACTCCATCATCTCCAAAACTTGTATCAACCTCATAGACAGATGAAAAGTAATTTTCAAAAGTATTTTTTCCACATCCACAACCTCCAACGTATTATGTAATAATGCACCAACTGCATCTCGGGGTGTTTCTTGTTTTAGTTGCTTCAGTTATGTGTTGCAGTAAAAACTTTCGTTAAGAAATTTTAGAAATTTGTTTGAAATTTTTGTAGGTGGATGTACTCCAGTGAATTTCAGAAAAATTAAAATCATCAACCAAAAGATCTCCTTTAATGACAAAATACCATTTTTAATATCATTTTTCTCTGCAATAACAGTAACTCTATAACCGTTCTTTAAATTTGTCTTTGAATTGAAATTGTTTTCCTCGTATATCTATCATTTTAAATTGTGATTTTCATATCTGTTTTCAAAACTGATTTCAAGATAGATTTCATGTGAGTAACTAAATAATCTACTTTAACTTTGAAAAGGTCAGAATGTTGCTATCAAGGTTCTTATTTAAGGTTCTATCAATCTTCAATAGTCACTTTTATTTAATTCAGCTTAGCCAATTCTTTGTCAACTAATTTGTTCTGCGTTTATTCTGATGTCAATATTGTTGTATTCTCAATCAACATGTTCATTGAGACTGACGATTCATCCAAACTGTATGAATGTTTAAACGTGTAATGTTTGAACTTTCTTCAAGTCTACAAAATATTTTGCACTGATTACAAATTCATTTTTATGAACCTTACCCAAATGAAAATATGAAAAAAAGTTGAGGATTTTAAACTAAAAAATCTACATCATTAGCGATCTGTTGAGTACATTAAGTTAGAAACTTTTATCAATTGAATGTTTTCATTATTTTTTTCTTAAATTTATTTTCAATAAATTACATTGTTATTTTAAAATAAAATATTTTTATATTACCTATTCAAATTGATTTTTTCTTTATGGTTAGAATTAATACGTCACTTCTAATAAAAAACGTCATATAGATTAAGGAACTGGTGTGGTCGTGGTTCGATCAACTGGCTTCACTATTGCATTGTCTAGAGACCACATCTATCGATAGAGACATTGTTTTGTACATGAATATTTGAAAGTTAAAGTACTATTTTAGCAACGTAGCCATAAGAATAATAATGCCTTGGCTTATATATATATATATATATATATATATATATATATATATATATATATATATATAAGTTGTTTTTTCACAGACGTGAATAAAGCAATATATTGTAACACTTTAACACTCGTTACTTCAGACACCAATGTTATAACTTCAAAGATCTCCGTATCGCCAACAACAGTGTTAACAGTGTTGATGCTTCCAACAATCAAGTTATCGTTATTATGTTCAAGATTTCCGATAGATTTGCGATAGATGAACACAACTGCTTCAAAGGCGAACTTGGTTGAATGTTTATTCAAATGCCAACAGTAATAGAAATTCTAAACTAATCCAAGTAACAGCATAAATATCATTTACGACTTTGCTTCAAACCACGCTATTGATCTCGCTACTCCAGTCCTTCTATAGCCTTTATGGTATAAAAGACTCTATTGTTTACAATCGATTGACAAATAACAAAGAAAACAAATATTACAAGATAACAATAATTAATTATATAGCGTAATTTCACCATTCATGCGGTTATAACAATATATTGCTGATATTTAATGTTGAATAATTAGGTTGTTTATTTATTTATTTTGAGACTCACCGATTGCGAATCCAAGTGCAGCAAGTGGAACTATTAAATGTTCAAATTGTGTTGCGAGGGGTATCTGTCAAATAATATTTTTATAACCGTCACAAATATATTCGCCAGAGGCGCTAGTGTCTCTACGAGCTGATACGGTTCGAGAAGGAACTAGAACCTTCTGACAGCGAGATACCTAGGACGTTCAAAAAGCGTTTTTAAGACGGGTATATAAAGACATGCGAGATATTGAATGGTTGTTTTTGAATATTTGATATTAGAAAAAGATTGATTGTTAGGGTCAAAAGCGAAATTTAGTATTTGATCGTGTTTTTATAGTATTTGCGATAAACGTTAGTGAATTGTTATTCGAAAAGCAATAGAATCTGAACGTTAATTTGATGGTTTGTGAACATTAACTTTTATTAGTAGTAAAATTAATTAGTGCTGATTATTAATAATTAATTAGTTAACTATTGGTTTGTAAATAATTAAATCAATAATTTGGAAGTTATATTGTCTTTATTTTTTACTGGGATTAAACGAACTCGTCGTCGACAGGCCAGTTATAACAATATGAATGTATTTCATCAGTTCTCAATTGAATTATCATAACCAGTTCAATGCCGCTGTATATAATGAGCTCTAGAGGTAGATGGGAATGGATTTTTCATTCTAATTCCCTTCCATTCCCATCAAAGCATTCTCGCTTCCATTCAATAAAGCAGTAAACTATTTAATAATGAATAAAAACATTATCACCAGAACAATTACTCACGAGAAACAATGACACACTGATGGTGAATGATCCGATCATGGCACACAACCATCTAAATACCAATTATTCTTAATGATAAAGTTTTAATATTTTAATGTTATAATTAGTAATAAATTAGCCATTGCGTTCCATTTACCAAACTTTTCATTTACTTTGAAAATTCATAGTTTTAGAAAAATTTATGAAAAATATGTTTGAAAAATATTTTAGCAAGCCAATTTGACTATTTCCAATGAATATAAGAACAAAACTCACCACAATGATTTACTTATAACTAACTGTTTAAATTTTATTTTATTAGTTAAAATAATTTTTGCAACAACTTCATAACCTTCCGATTTTATGAGCGAGTGGTCCAAAAAGATAAATACTGATAATGTTTTTTTTTCCAGAATTTTATTCGAAAAGAAACAGGAGATCATATATACAAAAGCATGTGCTGACCACCTTAACTAATTGTGCAACAATATAAGATACAAATATAAACATTTTTAGTATATCGATAAATATAAATACACCCAATAAATCCATTTTTATAACTTAAAGTAAGGAGGTTAAATATTCAATCAGATGTAAAACAATTAAATAAAACACGACAAAATTAAACAAAGAAAGCATCATACCTACATTGATCTGCATAAGTTTTCTATATATTTTTTAAATTCATTATATCCGGAAAATTTTTTCTTACCTAGTTCCAAGGAATTCCAAAGATGGGATTTATTACCCCATAGCTAGTTCAATTGCCACTTTATTCAACAAATCAATCCTCGTTGGCCAGTTCCCTAATAGACTGAAATTGGCAAAGGTACTACATATTTTCAAGGGTGGTGATTGCAATCAATATGGCAACTACAAACCCATATCGATTCTATCAGTATTTTCAAAAATTTTTGAAAAACTAATGTTTGATAGAATGTTGTCTTACATATCTAAACACAGCATGATTAATGGAAATCAATTTGGCTTCGTTCCCAAGTCATCAACTGAGAAGGCTATTGCTATGCTGTATGGAACTCTCATGAATAATTATGATTCAAGGAAGCTTAGCTTAGGCGTTTTTATAGATCTAAGCAAGGCATTCGATTTAATTGACCACAATATTTTATTTTATAAACTGTCTAAGTATGGTTTTCGAGGTATAGTACTGAGCTGGTTCAAGTCTTACCTATACAGTCGGTGTCAATATGTCTGTATTGAAGGTGTTGAATCGTTGCCCAAGGAAATAGTTTCTGGAGTTCCCCAGGGTTCAATCTTGGGACCGCTTTTGTTTATTCTGTTTATAAATGATATTTTTTTAATATCAAATGTGTGTACCACTATTTTATTTGCTGATGACACGACTATATTCTTGTCTGACGAAGACCCGATAAGACTATTTTCTGAAATGAATAACCAACTGGTTAAATTCTCCAACTGGTTCACTGGAAACAGATTGGTTCTGAATTCAAAAAAATCCTGCTATTTAGTCTTTGGCCCTAAAATCAAAACGAACAATGATATCTTCTCTGGCCTAACCATTCACATAGGTGACTCAGTGATATCCAGAAATTCGTCAGCTAAATTTCTGGAAATTATTATCCAGTCTGACTTGAAATGGAATGAGCATATAAATTCGTTGGTAAGCAAATTATATAAAATTACTGGCATTATTTATAGATCACGCAATAAATTAGGTACTAAAATCATGTTAATGCTATATTACTCCATAATCTATCCATATCTCCTATATGGAAATGTTTTTTGGGGAGCTTCTTATGATTATTTAATAAAATCATTGACAATAGTACAAAAAAGATACCTTAGGGTTTATTTTTTTTGAAACACCTTGATCATACACTGGCAATATATTCCGATAATAGTATCCTCAGTATTGAACAGCTTAATAGGTATCTAACCTTGTGTTTCGTTTATAGAGTGTTATATGATGCTGAGTTCAACATGTTAGGCTTATTTGAAACGGTGTCAACAAACACTAGGCAAAAAGGTTTGTTGATACCAATGACTTGCAGAACTGATTTAAATGCTAGATACTGGGCGGTAAGAGGAATTCGTCTTTGGAATTCCTTGGAACTAAGTAAGAAAAAATTTTCCGGATATAATGAATTAAAAAATTTATAGAAAACTTATGCAGATCAATGTAGGTATGATGCTTTCTTTGTTTAATTTTGACATGTTTTATTTAATTTTTTTACATCTGATTGAATATTTAACCTCCTTACTTTAAGTTATAAAAATGGATTTATTGGGAATGCTATTTAACTAACTAACTGTTTAAATTTTATTTTATTAGTTAAAATAATTTTTGCAACAACTTCATAACCTTCCGATTTTATGAGCGAGTTGTCCAAAAAGATAAATACTGATAATGTAACTGACACCTCCAGGAAGGAAAGCCATTCCTTGCAGCCAGTTTGATGATCCCATAGTTTGGAGCATGTGCAATGGCAAAGAAGGTTCAAGCATGGAAAATCCCAGGAAACCCAAAAACACTGATACTGCATTATGGGAGAAGTAATGTTTAAATCTTTTTTACATTTTATCTCATGCAATGTTTTTGATTTGCATTATTTTTATTATTATTATTATTAATGTTCATTTATATAGCATTATTAAATAAAAAATCTCAAAAGCACTCTCATAAATAAAACAGTACTCGAGTGAAAGATTAAAGAAAAATACTAAATGTTAAATCAATGAAAATAAATGCATTTTCAATATTTTTTAAAATTGTTCAAATAATTTCCAGGTATTCTTATCAATTCCGGCAAAACGTTTCAAACTATCGGGCCAACAACAGTAACGTCACGCATTCCTCCTATTTTTAAACGATTAACTGGTACCATCAAAAGGTTCATATCGTCTGATCTCAAACTGAAATTCAATGTGGATGTTTTTCTGACAAATCTACTAGACAAATATTCTGGAGCCAAGCCATATATTGATTTGAAAACTATGACCGCTATTTTGAAGATTATTCTTTTATTGATTGTCAGTTAGTAAAGATCATGTATGTCACTAGTTTAGCCGCACGATTCTGGATTGACTGTAAAGCTGCCACTGACGTCTGGGGTAGCCTGTAGAATATGCTGTTGCAGTAGTCGAAACGGGGTGTTATGAGAGCATGTACTAATGTTTCCATACTACAAGGCTGTAACGTCTGACTCTGTACAATCCCCTGAGATAGGCCATACTAGCAACTGATACGTTTTTTATATGTTCTTTCATTGTGAGCTTAAAATCAACCAAAACTCCTAAATTGGATGCAGTTGTGCTGAACATTATACCAATGTTGTTTACTTTTACCGAGTGCATATCTAGCTTTGTCATCTGCTGCCAAGTGCCAACCGGGAGCAACTTGGCTTTGCACTGATTCAACTTGTGCAAATTGGAGAACATCCAGCGTTCAATATCGTTCAAACATTTGACAAATCTATCAATTTTTCTCTGAAACACTTGCGGCCGACCAGTATCAATCATCTGAACATCATCAGCGAACGCGTGGCAAAAGATTTCATGTGAATTAATCAACCTGGCTATGTTCGAAGTGTATAGCAAGAACAGAATGGGCCGCAACACTGAACCTTGAGGTACTCCAGACAAAACAAAATTTATTTCTGATGAAATTTTCTAAAGAGAACCTGCTGAGTACAATCCAGTAAGTTAGACCGGAACCGTGCATATTCAGTATCACAAATACCAAAACTATAATGGAACAGAATATGGTGATTGACGCAATCGAATACCGATGACATGTTGAGGAAAGCCAATAGTGCAATATTCTGGGCATCTATTTCCGAGATTAGCTTGGAAAAAATATGTGATAGAGCGTCTATGTTAAATGAAATCGCCTGTAGCCTGACTGGTAAATTGTCATAAACTTTCAATAAATAACGTAACCAAACAAACAAAAGGCGTTTTTGGCGTTACAAAAGTAACGCCAAAAAAACTGCCAAAATTACTCAAAATAATCACGAAATACGAAAACTGCCACTCGTTAGATTGACATCGATATATCATTTTACATGCATGTACAAGAGGAATGTCTGTATTTGTATAATGTGGCAAGATTTCAATTTTCTTGCATTTAGCTCGTCTTCTGTCTTGTTTAAAATGGTTGAACTCTTATTTTCATGTATTTGCAGCTTGTATATGTTTATATTTTTTATTAATTTTATCATTTTACATGCATGTACAGTACACGAGGAATGTCTGTATTTGTTTATATATTCAAAAAACATCAAATAATATTTCAAATGGAAAAATGACAATATTCCAATATTTAACACATCAGCCTCACAAACAACCCACCCACCAGCAGCGATGATTATGTATGGATCAGTCAACAGCTCCTTCAATGAACTTCCCTTCTCCTCCTCTGGTCTCATTTGTGGTTGCATCAAAAACAATACCATGACTTGTGATTTTTATATTGTTACCTTTTTATCATTTTTCTCATTTATATCACCACCGCCATCGACAGCATAATCATTCACATCTTCGTCATCAACTTTCATCACCCTAATAATCATCACCTCCAGCTACAAAAGCAACAGCAGCCAAGATGATAAATGGTGTCTCCTTGCCACAAAACTCATACAGGACTCCTCCGCACGTGGGACCAACTGAGGTGGTAACGATTATGTTTATAAGGTTGATAATGATGATGATCATACCGTATCGTAGAATATGAACAGCCCCTCTCATGAATCGACTTCAGACGATGATGAATGTGATGGTGACAATGGTGGTAGTGATGAAAAATATGAAAATGTCAACGACAACGCTGATGATCGTGATGACGATACCTTGCAGATAATTTCATTTAGGTACATAATATAAAAATCAAGCTCAACCACCTTTCAACAAAGTTAATAATTGAATATGAAAATTAAACAAACAGAATATGGTAAAAACTGGAAATCAAAGTTCAATAATTAATATATAAATTAATGTGATATATTAAAACTAATTTGTTTTCCTTGGACATTTTTTCAAGTTTTTGGTAAATTTATAAAAAGAAAATTGAACTGTTTTTTAAAATTTGAAAATTTATTCCAAATTTGTGATCCCGGAATGTTCTTCTTTGCCGGTTTCAGAACAAAACACTTGTTATCGTGTTTCTCTGGATTTATTTATATTTGAAATAAGTTTCAAATGCAAAAGAAGAAAGTAGTTTAGCTGTTTGAAGACAAAAGGTTCAATTAGGTAGACACGTTGCTGAGTAAAATTAAAAAACGGTATTTATGTTTTTTGAAAGAAAAACAAGCGAAAAGCAATTTAATAGCTATCGAGAACAAGGAAGTGACACCAACAAAGAAGATAAAAAATATAACACCAACTAATTAAGTACCTTTATTTAAGAAGCTATATAAACCAAGCTGCATTGAAGACGATTTGTGAAAAATAATCAAAATAGGCCTTTAGGCCTTGATAAATTTGGATAATAATTCATTTTAAACACCATCCAAAAAATTCTAGTAAGAAAAATTGAAAAGACAAACATAAAGTTGGTTAATGATTACAATTTTGTAGAATTCGTGTTAAGCAAAAAATTTCTTAACGTTTATACTTATATATAGGTAAAAATAGATGTACATACTCTTTTTTGACTACAAACTGTTACCATAAAAACTCAAAAACATCGCTAAATTTGTTCGATTTGTTAAAATGTTTGAAAACCAAAACTATCACTCCAAATTCACGTATCCTAAAATATATACATGATAAAACAGTTATTCTAATTTTTAAATACCGTAAAACGAACTAATCATTTCAAAAACATTTAATACATAAAATTCAGCTTAACATCTTAAAACTTTACAAAGAAAATTTTGTATACTATAAAATATATAAATCTAACCTAATTACTAAAAATAACTTTAGAAAAACGAAAAATGTATAATTTGCCGGTAAACAAGCAGCAGATCATTGCGCAACGACCTGTCTCACCTCTACACTACACTCAATAAAATTAAATATATGCTCCAATGTGGTAACACGCCTATATATTTCAAATATTAATAGCAGCACTTTATCGCTATCACATTTGGTTTATTATCCTAAATTAATCAGAATCCTTTTTATAAAAACAAAAGTCTACACTGCCCAACTTGATTTCCAACGGAAACGCAGGCAATCAACTAATTCATAATCTTAATGTTTTTTTCCATCTACCACTAAATGTTTTGGTTGAAATATTTATTCACTGTTTATTTATTCACACCACATTTCCAACTTACCAAGACTTCCAATGGCCGCTCCTCCCAAAGCGAGCGCCATTGCATTACCTCTCTCCTTGTCATCGATATACAAACTGGCCAACATGCCCATTCCTGTGTGCATGGTGATGAATTGTGAAGAGTATTGACGATGAAACGATGATTTATTTGTTGCAATGACAGTACAATTTTTAGTCTAAATAGAGGAAACATTGTCGCCATCGTCAAAACAGTGATGCACATTATGAATATTATAATCCTTATTTTTACTACCAATTTGTATGAATTGAATAAATGCAGTCTTGATTATATGTAAGTTAGCATGAATGAACAATTATTACATTCTGAACATTTTTTTTGCACAATTTTATTTTCTTTACCTATGTTTGTTATCGAGTATATATAGTCCATAATTTTTTTTCTTCATTACATTTTATATTTATTTTATTATTAATTTAATCATTACTATTATATTATCACTTATATTACCGTTTATTCTTAATTTATATTTTCATTTCATCTACATAGTGTCACCAGTATTTATTAATATTTCATATTATATTGATTTTACTTCCACTAAATGTTATTTATACTTTTTATATTCAATTTTTTTTTTTCATCGCTTCATATCTTGCATTTTGTTTGCCTACTTTCTCTACGCTTTATAGAATTTGATTTACAGAATAAAAAATAATTTTAGTTGTTATTGAGGTCACTATCGTCAAATTAATTTTGACATTATCCAACCTGAAACGCTAGAACATGATGATCCCAGTCCCTGCATTGCTCTGGCCACGAACATAACTTCGTAACTGTTGCTGAATGCAAATGCTTTGGAAACCATTTTAACAATAAAGACTATTTTATTTTTATATAATATTAATATTGAATAAAAGTATAATAATCGAAAAATAAATAAAAAAATAATGACTACAAGAGTTTGGTTAGAAATATTGAGAAATGTAGTAAAAAACTATCGAACGCAGGAAATTCGATAGATTTCGTTAATATTTCAAAAATTACTGCAGTAAATATGGTCTTTAACCAGCATATATATATAATATTAAGACATTCGATAATAAATATTCAACAACGGGCAATTGGAATTCTTCCTACCAATAAATTTAGAAAAAGAGGAATCATTGATAATGAAAACACGTAAAAGTGTTATATTTTACTATGTCGAAAGATTGTAAAACTTAATATTCACTTTGAATAAACAAGGAACCATTAAATAGACAGAGTATAAAAATATTTGAGCATCTGGGCACAACCACAACAATCAATTTGAACACCGAAGATGATACAGGAATACCGAAAAAAGCTTTTCTGTTCCATCATACATAAAATAAATAAAAAATTTTGGTTTTGAACTTAAAAATGATTTACGATCAACCGTTAGAAAAATCGAAAAGTTAAATTGGAAGTTAACTAACGCCAAACATGGTGTGATTTTCATAAATAATTTTATATATATACGTAATTTTATATATAAATACGTGGTGGTACACTAGACTTGGTAGTAACCTCCGAGGATTTTCCAGTTCATGATTGTTTAGTCCATCCAAGTGGAATTTATTCTGATCATAGTTTTATTTGGGCTGAACTGTCGATGACTCGAGGATATTTGGTTGGAATTAAAAAAGTTTCTAAAATGTGGAATCAGATGAATGTTGATGACTTCATCAAACTCGGGCTTGAATCTTCACTCTCCAAATCATGTCAAAGCAATGAGGTAGACAAGGAATTGCATTTTTTTAACAACGAGTTAAAATCTATTGCTGATAAAGTTGTCCCTGTTCGTGCAGTGACCACCAATAACGTTTGTATGGCTCCGTGGTTTGATAATGATTGCCAAGCATTTGTGCAGAAAAATGGAAAGAAAATACAGAAAAAGTTCAGAGTTGATTCATCAAGATGAATGGAAGACTGCTTTGAAGAATAAATCGGAACTTTTCTCTAAAAAACGTCGTCAGTATTGGACAAAAATTGTTGATGACAATAAGATTAAACCAAAAAATCTTTGGCGGGTTGTGAACAGCATTCTCTGTAGGGCTCGTAACGATAAATCCTGCTCGGATATGGATGAACTAACACCTGATCAATTTATGTGCTATTTCAATGAAAAGTTAACCAAGCTGAGAGATAGTGTCAACAACGATGCTCAACTGAGCTTGGCAGAATTCCAATCAGGTGTCAATAATAGTTTGTTCTCAACGTTTTCTATGGTTTCTGAAGAGGAGGTAATACAGTTAGTTCAAAATTCACCTGCAAAGTCGTGTCAACAAGACGTAATACCTACCCACGTATTAAAAAAGTTGATAAAACTATTCGCACCATTTTTGGCAGACCTGATAAACAGCAGTTTAAATGTGGGACAGTTTCCTTCTGGCTGCAAGCATGCTATCATAACTCCGCTGCTGAAGAAACATAATCTAGACGAAAATGATGTTGGGAACTACAGACCAATTTCTAATCTGTCTTTCCTATCCAAAATTATCGAACGTGTGGTTGCCAGGCAAACACTTAGTTACTTGAACAATAACAATTTATTGCGGAAATATCAATCTGGATTCCGTCAGTATCATTCGACTGAATGTGGCAATACTAGTCTTTCTTGATATGTCATCCGCATTTGATTGCGTAGATCACAAAGTACTTTTAACAAGACTACGTTACAGTTTTGGAATCTCTGGTGCTATTCTGAGGTGGTTTGAGTCGTATCTGGTAGGTAGATCACAACAGGTATCATTCGGTGGTAAATTGTCTGAGGTTAATGTTATGCTGTCTGGTGTGCCACAAGGTTCGGTTCTAGGTCCTATTCTATTTCTGATCTATACATCTGAAGTACTAAAGATAATAGAATCATTTGGTTTTTCAGGTCATGCTTTTGCGGACGACTTGCAAATTATTGTTACGAGCAGGCCAGATTTTTTAAATCAGAATTGGACAAACTGGTTAAATGTTTTTCTGGGGTCAATAAGTTGATGCAAAACAATGGTTTAAAACTAAACCAAAACAAGACTGTTTTTTTACCAATTGGAACATGGCAGCAACTTTCAAGAATAGATATAAATTCAATAATTGTTAATGATGAGGTCATCCCATTTTGTCAGACAGCAGCTAATCTGGGCTTCATGATTGATTCAGGTTTGTCAATGAAACAACACATTAAGAAGCTCTCAGCCGATTGTATGTTTCAAATCAGGAAAATCAATTAAATTCGACGATCCTTAGATACATCCACGTTGCAGACGTTGGTTCATGCATTTGTGCACTCACGTGTCGACTATTGCAACAGTTTGTTTTATGACTTACCTGATCGATCCATGGCTGTACTTCAATCAATACAGAATCGAGCCGCGAAAGTTGTTGTTGGAGCTCTAAAATACGATCATGTGTCTCCAATATTGAAGGAACTTCATTGGCTAACCGTCGACAAAAGAGTGTTGTTCAAAATTTCAACATTTGTCTACAAGTCTATCAACTGTCTAGCTCCATCTTATTTGTCTGACAGGTTCAAAAAGAGATCTTCAAAAGCATCTGGAACACACTTGAGATCCGATGTTTCAAACCTGCTGTTGATCCCAACAACGAGTCTCCGTATAGGCTCTCGTAACATTGCTGTTTCGGGACCAACTGTTTGGAACAACCTGCCTGCTGCTCTCAGAAATCCGGACCTAAACTTGCGTGATTTCAAGAAGAAACTGAAAACTCATTTATTTTCATTGTAATGCATTATTGATCAATTTCTTTCTGTTTAGTCGATCTGTTCTAAATATTATTTCGTATTTTCGTTATATTGAATCGATTACTTTTCTGTTTATGACCAAATTTTAACCTTATTTCTGTGCGATGTATTATGATTTCTCGTTTATTATTTCAATTATGTTGTTAAGTTCAGTTTTTGTTAGATAGCGCTTTTGAGATTCGTTTAATTAGCGCTTAATATATATTAATAAACTAAACGTTCACCAAAAAACTTTAGTGAGAAAAATTGAAAAAACGAACTACAAACATATTAACGCCGAACATTTGGTAGAATTTATAGAATATTGTAAAAACTATGGTCTATTACCAACATATAAATATATATATATATATATATATTTACAATATTCTATTCTATTCTATATATATATATATATATATATATATATATTTACAATATTCTATAAATTCTACCGAATGTTTGGCGTTAATATGTTTGTAGTTCGTTTTTTCAATTTTTCTCACAA